AAAGATGAGGACAATAGTCCGAATAATGTAAATAGTGTCTATTTAGACAGTTCCTCCCTAAGCGCCGCTGCTTTGCAGAACTGACTCCCGAGTAGGTGCTTCCCCTATCACTGTAAATCTAGGATCAACCTTTACCTATCCTACGTATTCTCGTAATCTGCAATACTCACGTCCACAAAATAAACCCCTTAGGTAAACTTCTGCCTAGAGTACCCCTGTACTACGTTAGTCGCTTCTAAACTATTTTCTCCGGATTGTGATAAAAAGTACATTTAAAAAAAAATAGATAAATAAATAAATAAAGCGATATAAAGGGAGATAACCGCAGATTCGAAGTCAGAATACTATCATTGATAACTATCTCCTCAAATTTGTGGATTTTAGTTATTATCTTCTTATTACTTGATATAATGCAAAAATATCACAATGATAAGATCGGTCAATAATTATTCATAATTATTTATACTGGGACTCATGTACGCAGTTATAAGTAATCCAAGTAATATTTTAAATTTTTGAAATCGTATTTATTTTTGGCATATGGATTTCTTTGAAAATTTTTCCAAATCTTTGATTGTCTTTCAATCATTCCACGTCACATGCTGTCCTCTTCCGTTGCACCTATGAGGCGCTGCGTCGTTTGGTAAACACTGTACTAAGTGAACAGTAGCATGAAATATGCCGAAAACAACCTTTTCAAAACCCTTCCGGGGTTTATGGCTACTGTCTGTCCACCCTAAGTGTTACTATTGAGGTTTTCGTAACAAGTAAGTTTTTACGGGGTGAAGTCGTTAGCCCAAACCGCAACAGGTTTTTAATGCAGTTTTTCTCATTGACTGTTTGCCAACCAAAGCCTGCTATTAACCCCTTTTTGTTCGGGGAATGAGAGGAATTTATACTCTTTTACAAAAGTATTTCTGTGAAAGCGAACGTAATGACAACGGCTAGAGGTTGAACTCGACAAGCTTATCAACACTTAAACTGCTACGACACGCGAACGTCTACGTATGCGTATAGCTTCTTTTTATTGTATTTTATTTTTTAAAATAAATAATTATTTATTTTAGTCCTCTGCTAATTTTATATTATGAAATCTTTCTTTTTCATAAGAAACTAGAACGACTCCAAAACTGATAATGACGTTAATATAGCTCTTTCCGACTGAAAAGATTACGACAACTTCACACCTGGATAGAAAGAGGGCACTAACGGGGAGGTCAGTTTTTCAAATGTAGACCAAAACACTTCTTTCTTTTCAGATGATGGACATCCACAATTTCTTATCCTTTGTAAGATTTGTCTTTTCTCTCCAAATCCCTGTTTTATCATCCATTTACACAAGTTCGTTAGGTACGTAAGCCTAAACATTCATCTGTCTCTTCGATATGTCCTGTAAGTGTCTTCAAAGCCTTCTTTCCTCATTACATATCCTGGAAATTTTAACTGTTTGCTTCTGAATCTGTCTATATTTCTGAGATGAGGTATTGTGTACAACGGCCGAAACGTTGTCATAAATATGGTAACAAAGATGAGGGCCATAGTCCAAATAGTATAAATAGTGATTTTAAATATAATCGTCCTTTCTACTTGTATTTTTCTTAAAACTTCAACGTTGTTCATATTTTCAGTCCGTGGTATTCTTAATATCCTTCTGGCCTCAGGTTTTCCAATGACTTGAGGTGGAACAACTATATTAAATCAATAGCAGCATCTATTGCAAGGAAAATCGCTACACTATGTCGTGCCAGAAGATTTTTCTCGTCAGAGTTCATCTTACACATCTACAAATCTACCCTTTGTCAGTCCATTGAATATTGTTGTCATATCTGATCTGGCACCCTTGCAGTTCATCTCGAGGTTCTCGACAAAATCCAAAAAAGGATCTGCAATGTAATTTGTCCTGACTTGACTTCTCTACTCTAATCTCTTTCTCACAGACGTGATGTGGCTTCTTTCTGTCTTTTCTAAAAATATTTTCATTGCAACTCTTCTGATGAGCTATCTTACTTTATGCACCGATTATATGTATTTAAGCGTGCTACTAGATTGGCATCTAGGTCCCACCCTTTTACTGTTGGAATAGTTAAATGTAACCGCTACTTCTACTCTAGCATTTTGTTTACTCGTACTTCCCTACAGTGGAACTCCCTTCCTCTTACTTGCTTCTTTGATAACTATAATCTTCCAAAATTTATATGCAGCGTCAATCGCCATCTTCTGTTGCTTTGATCCCCGTTATCTTCTATCCTTTCTTCAATCCCCTCTATAAAATTTTTTCCCTCACTTTCACTCTCTGTACCCCCACCCCGCGTGTTAGTGACCCTCTCGTCTTGCTTGGGGTGAAAATCTTAAAAAATATAAGAAAACAACAAAAAAAATCTGCTGACTCAAGTCTCCTCCTCAACTGTAAAGAGATTGTCCAGCATTCACTGCCATATAGGATGACCATTCTGTTACGATTTACATTGCTCGGACTATCATCCTCGTCTTTCTTGCCATATTTATCACAAGCTTTCAGCCGTTGTATGCTGCGACCTTCTTCAGGTGGTTGGTGGATAAAGTCACACAGGGTTGATGAAACTCACTACGGTAGGAATGGTTTCTGATATGACTATACTCATGGTTACAATTATAAGTCACCCGGTGACAATCGAACTCAAACAGAATTAATATGAGGATATACGTATACTAGCAATGATTTAGTTTAGCATGGCACAATGTTAAATTGTGAGGGTCCCACTCATAAGAGATGTAATGGCTAAAGAGATTAAAAGATAGGGTGATGATTTGGATTAGGGATTACCATTGTGTAGAATTAAGTTCCTTAGGCAGTGGAGAGGGAATTAACAGAGATAACTGATAACTGACATCCATTAAACATGGCACGTGGAATTAGAACATGGATGACCATTCTGTTACGATTTACATTGCTCTGGTTATCATCCTCATCTTTATTGCCATATTTATCACCTTGTTTCAGCCGTTGCGGCCTTCTTCAAGTGGTTGTAATGTCGAACTGAACCTTTTATTTCGCTCTCAGGGGTAGACTGTTCTAGTTCCACGTGCCATGTATAATGGATGTCAGTTATCCGTTATCTCCTGTTAATTCACCTCTCCATGTTCTCCGCTGTCTTAACCAGGTATTGAACTCACAACACTTTGGGTCCTGTCATGGACCTATCCAGTGTGCCATGTGTCCTAACTGATAACTGACATCCATTAGACATGACACGTGGAACTAAAACAGTCTACACCAGCGAGCGAAATAAAGAGTTCAGTTCGACATTCCAACCACCCGAAGAAGGCCGGAGCGTACAACGGCCGAAACGTTGTGATAAAGATGGCGGCAAAGATGAGGACGATAGTCTGAGCAATGTAAATATTGTACATAATAGCTCATCTCAAAAATATAGACATACCTTTTTGTTATTATATAACAGTTCGGCTCTCATTTCTTTTTATTTTACGAAATTTTCTTGTTTCTTTGCTTAGCTTTTGGAAGGCATATTTCATTATTCCTTTCTGCCGTCGAAAATGTGATATTTTGCTTCTTCTCTGAAAATACTGACCACAAGTAATAAGAGCAGATAGGTTCACTTATCTCGGGTTTTTCGAATAGGAGTAGAGGTTTATCCCTTGTTTCATGTTTAGAAATGGGTTCCTGGTTCCATCTCCTAAAGTCTTCTCATGTACCCCACTTGCGTCTTAGTGGCATTATTTCCTTGCTTGGGGATGAAATGAAATAAATAAGCGTTTCCACTTGCGTGATTTTTGGAACTTCCATTTCGTAATTCATATAGATTTCCGGGTCACGTGATATCCAAGTAAGATCTGAAAACGGCTAGATGGGATCGAACTCGCTACAATGGTAATGCTCTCCGAGACTGCTTTGCAAGTTAATATTTTACGGCGATGTAGCCACTCAGTCTGTCTACAATTAATGTCGTTCCCTTTTTATGGCAATTTATTAAGCATAGCTTAGATTTGGGACAAGGCCAGAAGTATGGAGCATCCAGTGTCTCCGAGTCTATAGAAAATTCCTTATATGAGATCTATCTATCTATCTATCTATCTATCTATCTATCTATCTATCTATATCAGTCTGTTCATACCATCTATCTATCTATCTATCTATCTATCTATCTATCTATCTATCTCAGTCTGTCCATATCTATCTATCTATCTATCTATCTATCTATCTATCTATCTATCTATCTATCCTAATCTGTTAATTTACTTCATTTATCTCTCCTAAACTCTTTATCCTGTTTTATCTCTTTTACAATTTCTTCATATCTCACTGCATCACAGTCTGTTCAGGTATGTCTGTGTGTCATTCTTTCGATAGATAGATAGATAGATGATGATATGATAGATAGATAGATGAAATAACAAAATAGATAGATGAAAATGAAAGAATAGAAATAGAAAAAAATAAACAGAGACACAGACAGACAGACATACAGATGAATAGATAGATGAATAGATAGAATGAATAGATAGATAGAACAGAATGACATAGATAGATAGATAGATAGATAGATAGATAGAAGAAAATGAAGCAGAGACACAGACAGACAGACATACAGATAGATAGATAGATAGATAGATAGATAGATAGATAGATAAACGGAGAGGTGATGCTGGTTGTTCTCAACTACAGAAAATCATCTGGTCCCACCATTGTGAATATTATATGAACACATTTTGGTGAGTATATTCTTCGTCGGCCCCCACTCCGAGTGAAATGCCTCCCTCCACCACAAAAACTCGGGCGACGTGTCCATATCTATATATGGACAGGATTACATCTGCAACCTAATGACGCAAAAAGTATTGGTTTTATATAGCGAATATTTACTTTTTTAAATAATTTACATTCGTGTTAATGCACTTAATTTCCGACTGAATAATAATAACATAGATCGAGCAAAATACAGTGCCACTTTCGTGTCAGGCTACAGATATATTGATTCTCTTTAGTATCTATCTATATACCTATGTCAGTCTGTTCATATCTATCTATCTATCTATCTATCTATCTATCTATCTATCTATCTATCTATGTCAGTCTGTTCATATCTATCTATCTCTCTATCTATCTATCTATCGTTAGTGTTTACATATCTTTCTATCGTTCTATCTCTCTGTCTCTCTATCTATCTAGCTAGCTAGATAGATAGCGAGCTTTCTCAGTCTGTTTATATCTATTTTTGTCAGTGTGTTTATATCTATCTATCTATCTATCTATCTATCTATCTATCTATCTATCTATCTATCTATCTATCTATGTGACTATCTGTCTGTCTGTCTGTCTATTCATCTTGCATTTCTAAGGATATTCGTTAGAACTATCGCCTTGAAACCAATAAAGAAATGTAATGAAAATACAGTAAATTATGATAAAATAGACTTCGCCTTTACTTGATTAAATGTAGTTATTTTATTTTCTGTTTGCAAAATACAACAAGATTTAAATCCTTGACTCTTTTTTCAGGAAAAAAAAAATCAAATACGTGTATACAAATCTATATAAAAACAATACACTTTATGGGTAAAACTGGTCAATATCAGTGATAGAGCCTATGTAAATATAGAAGTGGACACTAAGTTCAACAACAACCGACGACGATCTGTTTTATGATTCAACACAATCTTCAAGCGATATATGATCTCAGAATTTTCTAATATTAAGGCCGGCAGACAAAAATCCATAAAGTGAGCGTCTATTTAAATATGAGTATCCACTAAAAATAACGGCTAAAATAATAGAAGCTCTCAGATTTATTAAATTAAAAAAATCCATTATTTTATCATATATATATATATATATATATATATATATATATATATATATGATATATATATATGTATATATATATATATATATATATATATATATATGATAATAATATATTATATATATATATATATATATATATATATATATATATATATATATATATATATATAAGACTTATGTGCTCTTTCCAACCTGACGATACCCTTACCGCCAAAAAGTTATAGCGAATTTCATTATAATGGAATAATAGAAAATACAGCTAACAAGCCGAGGAAGACAGTCAAATCGAAACAGATGATGAGGGAGTGACGAATCGCAGGTATTTTCAACTGAAATGCATTGGGAGTTGCCAGTACCTGTTCATATATGTTAATTGATTCAGGTTTTACCTGTATCCGAGATACACAGATACACACGCGAACACGCGCATGCGTACTAACAGTCTCATTGGCAGGTGGCGCAGTAGTCGTCCGTGTGGCAGTAGTCCGTGGAGAGATGCAGCACCGGTGGGATGCAGAACGGGGGGGGGGGGCGGGCAGGGAGAAAGAGCGACAGAAGAGAAGAGATAAGACGACAGACGAATCTGATGGGAATAAACTCATTGTCTTTCCTGCAAGGTTGTCATTTACTTCCTATTGAAATATAAAATCTAATCTTCGATACTATTCAGTTTGTTTCATTCTATCGTCACTCTTTCTTAAAAAAAAAAGGTGTTTAAGAAAGAAATTCTTAAACACCTTCTTTTTTTTCTTTCTTTCTATCAATCTTTCTTTCAAACTTTCTTTCTATTTATTATTCTTTCTTTCTTTCAAACTTTATTTCATTCTATCTATCTATCTATCTATCTATCTATCTATCTATCTATCTATCTCTCTCTTCTCTCTATATATATATATATATATATATATATATATATATATGAATCTTTCTTTTATCTATCACTCTTTCTTTCTTTCTATCAATCTTTCTGTCAATCGTTCTTTCTATTTTTTTCATTATTTCTTCCTTCCTTCCTTCTTTCGTAAACACCTTTTTGTTTCTATCTATCTATCTATCTATCTATCTATCTATCTATCTATCCTATCTCTCTCTCTCTCTCTCTATATATATATATATATATATATATATATATATATATATATGAATCTTTCTTTTTTATCTATCACTCTTTCTTTCTTTTCTATCAATCTTTCTGTCAATCGTTCTTTCTATTTTTCATTATTTCTTCCTTCCTTCCTTCTTTCGTAAACACCTTTTGTTTTTCTATCTATTCATCTATCTATCTATCTATCTATCTATCTATCTATCTATCTCTCTCTCTCTCTCTCTCTCTCTCTCTCTCTCTATATATATATATATATATATATATATATATATATGAATCTTTCTTTTTATCTATCACTCTTTCTTTCTTTCTATCAATCTTTCTGTCAATCGTTCTTTCTATTTTTCATTATTTCTTCCTTCCTTCGCTTCTTTCGTAAACACCTTTTTGTTTCTGTCTATCTATCTATCTATCTATCTATCTATCTATCTATCTATCTATCTATCTATCTTAAACACTTTCTTTCTTTCTTTCTTTCTTTTAAAGTATTTTCATTTCTTCTTTTCTTAGATGCTTTTTTCTTTCTTTGCATATTTTTTCTTTCTGTCTGTTTTTCTTCCTATCTATCACCATTTCTATCCCTCTATCACTATTTCTTTGTTCCTATCATTCTTTTTCTTTCTTTCTTATAAGATTTTTTTTGTTTGCATATTTTCTTTCTTTCTTTCTTTCTTTCTTTCTTTTCTTTCTTTCTTTCTTTCACGTTTTCTATCACTCTTCCTTTGTTCCTTCTTTCTTTCATTCTTAGAAACCTTGTTTCTATCTTTCATTTTAAGTCTTTTTCTTCCCTTTTTCTTCGACGTTTTTTCTTTCTTTCTTTGCATGCCTATCTATCTATCTATCTATCTATCTATCTATCTATCTATCTATCTATCTTAGATACCCTCTTTCTATTTTTCTTTTAAATCTTTTTCTTTCTTTCTTCCTTTCTTTCTTAGGCGCCTTTATTCTTTCTTTGTCTATTATTCTTTTCGTCGTTTTTCATTTCTTACTTTCATTGCTAGTCTCTCGTTTTTCATTCTTAGACCCACTTTTTTTTTCCTTTTAAATTTGGCTCGTTTTTCTTTCCTTTTTACACTCATCTTTCTTCCATTATATCTTTCTTTTTTCCTTCCTTCCCTTCCTTCCTTCATTTCTCTCTTCCTACCTCCCTTCCTTTGCAAATATTACTTTATTCTTTTTTCTCAGTCCCTTTTTTCACTTCTTTCTTTCTTTCTTTCTTTCTTTCTTTCTTTCTTTCTTTCTTTCTTCCCCTCCTTTCTTTATTTGCATGTATTATTTCTTATTTTTATTCTTTTTCTCAGCGGCATTATTTTGCTTTCATTGATCAATTTCTTTCTTTCCAAGTATTATTTCCTTTCTTTCAATTTTTTTTATTCTCAGTGGCTTTCTTTTTCATTCATTTATTCATTCTTTTTTCTCTCATCCATTCATTCATTATGTCTTTTTTCTTTCTTTTATTCACTAATTTTTAATTTTTGTTTCTTTCTTTCATTTATTTTTCTTTCTTTTCATCAATTAATTCATTCATTCTTTATTTTTTTCTTTCTTTCATTCATACAATCTTTTTCTTTCTTTCTTTCATTCATTCTTTTTCTTTCTTTCTTTCATTCATTCATTCTTTTTCTTTCTTTCTTTTTCTTTCTTTCATTCATTCATTCTTTTTCTTTCTTTCTTTCTTTCTTTCATTCATTCATTCATTCTTTTTCTTTCTTTCTTTTTCTTTCTTTCATTCATTCATTCTCTTTCTTTCTTTCTTTTTCTTTCTTTCTTTCATTCATTCATTCTTTTTCTTTCTTTCTTTCTTTCTTTCATTCATTCATTCATTCTTTTTCTTTCTTTCTTTTTTTCTTTCTTTCTTTCTTTCTTTCATTCATTCTTTTTCTTTCTTTCATTCATTCATTCTTTTTCTTTCTTTTATTTTCTTTCTTTTATTCATTCATTCTTTTTCTTTATTTCATTTATTCATTCTTTTTCTTTCTTTCTTTCTTTTTCTTTCTTTCATTCATTCATTCTTTTTCTTTCTTTCTTTCTTTCATTTTCTTTCTTTCATTCATTCATTCTTTTTCTTTCTTTATTTCTTTCTTTCTTTCATTCATTCCTTTTCTTTACCTCTTTCTACAACCTCACTGTTTGTTATCATTATCCTTCCGCTTCTTTTTCTTCGGTTCTGTCTTCCATTTCACCTTTCCTTTTGTTTGCAGTTTCATTTGTCGAATTTTCCTGACGGAATCCTTTCGATTTCCTCGTAATATTATATTCGACATTAAATGCCACAATGTCTATTATCATAACAGAAGATATTGTATCTTATGCCATCTGAATGGTGGATCTACGTTCAACTGCACACACACAAAAGCGCTTATGTTGCGTAAAGGAGGAGACGCGGGAAAACTGAAAAAAAGTAGCTACAAAATTTCTTCCATTTTAGCGAGTCATCGCTCTCTCTTTCCCTTTCTCTCTCTCTCTCTATATATATATATATATATATATATATACAGATATAGATGTATTTCTCTTTCTTTGCTTCATTATCTCTCTCTTTCTCTCTGTCTTTATCTTTCTCTCAATTTCTCTCTCACTCTTTCTTTCTTTCTCTTTCTTTCTGTATTCTTCTCTTTCTTTCCCTTTCTCTCTTTCTATTTAACTCCCGTCCTCTTTTCTTTCTTTTTCTGTCTTTCTCTTTCTTTCTCTCTCTATTTCTCTCCCTGTTTCTTTCTTTTTCTCTTTTTATGTCCTTTCTTTCTTTCTTTCTTTCTTTCTTTCTTTCTTTCTTTCTTTCTTCACCTCTGTATATGTACCGGTCTTTTTATAAGTCTGTCCCAGCCTTTTCGTATGTTTTTTTTTTTATATTTCTATCTATCTATCTGTCTGTCTGTCTGTCTGTCTGCCTATCTATCTATCTATCTATCTATCTATCTATCTATCTATCTATCTATCTATCTAAATCTCTTTATTCAATGTTCTATATATAATCTCTTTGGTTATCTATACACACACACACACACACACGCTCCCTCTCTCTCTCTTTCTCACACACACACACACACACACACATATATATATATATATATATATATATATATATATAT